GCCTGGGGGGGCGGACACCGGCCTCGCCGCTGCCGCCGCCGCCTCGGGGAGATTGAGGGGTGGGGGGTGGAGGAGACGGGGCTCTTCTCCCCCCCTGCGAGTATCGCGGGTCCCCCTCTTGTTTATATTCTAATAGGCATGTTGGCCAAATCTGAGGATACTTAAATCTTGTGATTGGAGCTGTCAACAGGCAAGACAGATCTTTCAACAAACCTAAAAAATGCCCCTGGTTTGCAGAAAAATCTGAAATCTTTATTAAAAAAATACATTGGGGGATTTAAAAAAAACCCAAATGATAAAAGAAATACCTGTAGCTTTAACAAACAGATCCCCTCAGTGGCTGTTGTTAGGCAACCACAGCATTCCAGGCTGGATTTCAGTGAGTAGGAAGGCGGGGGGGGGCAGGTGTCAGGCTCGGGCTGTCTGACCAACTGTACTCGCTGTATTACTGCCTTGATGATTACTGTGCCTGTTGTATTTCCTCCCTGCTTACTGGTGTAACCTTCCCCCCCCATACTGTGTTGTTCTGCAGCCCTTATCATTACCCTCGCCTGCCACCACATTCCTGAGGGGGGGAGTGAGTGTCTGTAGGAGTAGGGATGCTAACTTCAGTAAATCTTCCATGCCATCCCAAGAGACTTCTTTCACATGGGAAGTTGTCCTTGGAGAAGAGTCTTTGATTAGGTAGTTGTGGACTGTATATCTCTCATGTGTGTAGTAACGTTGACGTGTATGAATGGAATGTGTGATTGTAACTATATGCACCTTTCCCGCCTTGGCACCCCAGTTCTGACAAAGAGTTCAATCCCTGAACATGTCATATGTTCTAATAAAACTTTCATCCAAGAAAGTGATTTCACTGGGAACCTGACAGCAGGGCAGGGTCATTTCCAGGCCTATTTTGTCCTTTGAGGGGGAGGACTCATTGGGACCAGCCTGCTAGGGTTGCCAGCTGCAGGCTGGGAAATTCCTTGTGGTGGAGTCTGAGGAGGACAGGGTTTTCTCCAGGGCGATACGTCTCTGTTGTCTGGAGATCAGTTGTAATTGTAGAAGATCTCCAGGTCCCACCTGGAGGTTGGCAGCTCAAGGCCCAGCAGCAAACACTGGGTGACATGATACCATCAGATTTGCATGACTCAACTCTGCCTAGCTGCTTGCTGTTGTTCAACAGCAGCCACCATATGAAAGCCAGTGTGGTGTAGTGGTTAATGATTTAGAGTAGGTCTGGGAGATCCAGGTTTGAATCCCCATCTTGCGGTGGAATCTCACTGGGTGATTTTGGACCAGTCACATACTTTCAGCCTAGCCTACCTCACAGTGCTGTTTTGCGGATAAAAAGGAGGAGAGCCGAATAATGTAAGCTGCCTTGAGTCCCCAATGTGGAGAAAGGCTGGGTATAAATGAAGTAAATAATAAATACAGCTGAAGTTAGGAGACAGATAAAATGTGGGTTGGTGAATGGTTGAATAGGAGAGAATGAGTCAGGGAAAGTGGAGAGGGGGGCAAGAGATAAGGTTGCTAACTCCAGGTTAGGCAATTCCTAGATATTTGGGGGGTGGAGTCTGGGGAGGGGTGGGTTTTGAGGAGGGGAGGGACCTCAGAGGGGTGTAATACTATAGATTCCACCCTCCAAAGCAGCCATTTCCTCCAGAACTAGGGTTGCCAACCTCCAGGTGGGGGCTGGAGATCACTTGGAATTACAACTGCTGTCCAGAGATCAGTTCCCTTGGAGAAAATGGCTGCTTTGGAGGGTACACTCTGTGGCATTATACCCTGCTGAGGTCGCTTCCCTCCCCAAACCTCAACCTTTCTGAAGCTCCACCCCCAAATCTCCAGGAATTTCCCATCCTGGAGCTGGGGACCCTAGGTGGGAACTGATCTCTGTAGCTAGGAGATCTGTTGTGATTGCATGAGACCTCTAGGCCCCACCTGGAGGTCGGCACCCCTAGGAGAGAAGGAAGCAGGTAAAGGGGAGAGACTATGGGGGCTTTCTGGAAATAGGGAAACAGGAAATAGTGAGGGAGGTGGAAATGAGATGCTTACCTCAAGTCCTTGTGGGTTCCCAGTTGTACTTAAAAAATGTAAATAAAGAAAAAGAGCAGTACAGAGCCTGTGATGCTGAATTATTCTTCTTATGGTGTTGATGGCTCCTTAAATGTACAGATGGTGGATACTCAAGTTAGGCGCAGACTTGGAGAAATGTATCTGCCTTATCTTGAAAGATTTTAACTTTTCAGCTGTGAATAACATTTATGTTCTGGATGATGTTTCAATTTGCTTATGTCAGTCAGAAGTCAAACTGTATGAAGTTATTTTTTTCCCAAAGAGGAAGTAATCTGTTTTCTTTTAAGAGAATGTTGCTACAACTTCCTCTGGTGTCGTAAAGGAAATGTGATATATGTTGCATGTGTAATTTGTTGTAATGATATTTGTAACTTAAATAACAGTTGCTTGGCTTAAGAGGTGAGCCATCTCTCACTAACATAGCCTCGTACGAGCTGGCTCGCTGCAACTATATGCATTCCATCATCTATAAAACATTTCTGTCTCGAATTTGAGAATATTGTTTCTTCTTCTTCCACACTGAATATTTCAGTTTTTTTACAATACCATGAAATAAAACTTCCTAAATGCAAGTCAGAAATGGGTATAAATATTTATGAATATATAATTGAGGACATAATTATACCTGTGGTTCTGTTCAGTCTATTTTGAAGTAAGTGTGTGTAGGACTGCACTGTAAATGTACTTGGGCTAAAAATGCTTTTCTGGGGCAATGTAGCTTATAAAGATAAAGTGGCCCTTGGTATTTGGTTTGTGCATTGATAACATAGAAGCAACACCTAGTGGTCAGCTCAAATAAACAAACTTACACAGTCTCCTTTTGTTTAGGTCTTCCCAGTCATCAGACATTTTCATTCCATCAGGGGAGGTAGAGGGTTCAGAATCCACAAGTGAGCTAATTAAGCTTGGTGACACAGCATACTTGTTTTCTTTAAGAAATGATGGTAAGTAAAACTAGCAAAAGCAGCAGTCAAATGTGAGCAATGTGAACTGTCCACTCCACGGAGACCACTTGACCTCCACGATGGCTGTTTCTGCATGGAAAGCTGCACCAATGTAGCGGATGATGACTAAGACAAATTTTGTCTATGCCACGAAAAATTGTTTTAATTCATCTGAGACTAATAAGAAAAACAGACACAGGTTTGGTTCCTTTATTGATACAAACAGCTACTACTTGAAATAAACAAATTTGGCATACAATAAAGAAAAATTTCATTTAGACTTAACCAGTGTATGTTGCCTGCTTATATGTTATATCAGGCACAGGAAAATACGTAGGGGGAAAACCCTTGTCCAAGACAAGAATTTATATGCAAAACAGAGAAGTCTATTAAATAACCAATGTAAATGACAAATCACACTAATCTAGAAGGCAAAGAATAGCATAGTTGATTTTGGAGTGAGAAAGCCTGATCACCCGCCTGGGCCTGAAGACCACCTAGGATTTGCCATTTGCTAATCTTCCACAGACTACAGTAGTCTCTGAATACTATGGCAGGTTTACTAGGATATCGTTTCTGCCACAGTTATTCTACAACTTTTACCGAAGGCAGTGTGGGAACTGCAGTAATCCATTTGGGCAGGTCTTCTGCAAGGTAACTTTTTGAATTGTCAGTTTATATGGCAGAATCCATTGCAGTCTTGTTGGCTTGAAGTTATTTTGAATTCCTAATATCTAAAACTCACTGCTAGCCTTGAACCCTCTAAAATTTAACACCCTCCCCCACCCAATGGAGTATTTCCACAGATGAAAGGATTTTAATCTGCAGAGTGTCACTTTCTTGCCTCAAGCTTTGCAGCAGTTCAAAGTGCCCTCCAAATGCTTTCAGAGCTAGTTTGGTGTAGTGGTTATGTACGCGGACTCTATTCTGGGAGAACCAGGTTTGATGATGAAGAATAATAAGAAGAAGAGATTGGATTTATACCCCGCCCTTCACGTGGCTTACAAACTCCTTTCCCTTCCCCTCACCACAACAGACACCCTGTGAGGTAGGTGGGGCTGAGAAAACTCTGACAGAAACTGCTCGTTTTCAAGAACAGCTGTGCCAGAACTCTGGCTTGCCCAAGGTCATCCAGCCAGGTGCAAGTGGAGGAGCGGGGAATCAAACCCGGTTCTCCCAGTTTAGAGTCCGCGCACTTAACCACTACACCAAACTGGCTCGCTTCCCCACTTCTCCACATGCAGCTGCTGGTGTGACCTTGGGTCAGTTACAAGTTTTTTCAGAGCTGTTCTCTCAAGGGCAGTTCTCGAGAGAGCTCTCTCAGCCCCACCTATCTCACAGGGTGTCTGTTGTGGGGAGGGGAAGGGAAAGGAGTTTGTAAGCCGCTTTGAGACTCCGAGTGAAGGGTAGGGTATAAATCCAAACTCCTCCTCCTTCATCTTCCGCCTGAATAAAAAATTGGCTCTAGTCAGAAGATCCAGTGTTCATTTGAGCTTGAATTCTTTCTAACCATGAATATTGAATGTTCTTTTGAAATGCTTAAATAATTGTGATGCCTTTACTGTTTCCAAATACAGTGTTTGATACAACATGCTTTGCTTCTGCTGTGTCATAGAACGTATGGTCTGTCTACCTTATGGTCTACCTACCTTGTCAATCTAACCTTTGTTAGGAATGTTGACGATCATTTAAAATCATTAGAGACTAGGATCAGTAGGGTGTAAGATAGAAAGGCACTACTCATGGATAATACTAAACCATGGCTTTGTGTTAGATAAGCAGGGCTCGAGTTCTGGCCTCTCACTTGTCCCCGGTCAAATTTGGATTCCCTCCATTACTTCCCGTTTTGTAAGGGCAAACTAAAACTTGCCACATCTGAACCCACAAACTCCAATTTGTGTTTGGCTTCCAAAGCAGAATTGGTAACTGTCTCCATTTCCCAAAGAGTTACCAGCCTCAAAAGGGATCTCAAGGAAGACTACTGAGCCTGAAGAGCCTGCCGCTTCTGCAGAAACATCTAGTATACCCCCCAGCAGCAGAAAAGCATTCGTCACAGAAACTGAAGGTGAGTATCCAGTTTTGTCTGGGGCATCTCTACAAATGGGCTCTTTTAATCTTTCAGTTGTTTTTTCATAAGAACATAAAGACGCCAATGTTGGATCAGGCCAAAGGCCCATCCAGTCCAACACTCTGTATCACAGTGGCCAGAAATACCAGGAGGTCCACCAGTGGGGCCAGGACATTAGAAGCCCTCCCACTGTTGACCCGCCCAAGCACCAAGAAGACAGAGCATCACTTGCCCCAGAGTCCCTATCTATACCTTGTGGCTAATAGCCACTGATGGACCTCTGCTCCATATGCTTATCTAATTCCCTTTTGAAGCCGTCCATGCTTGTAGCCGCCACCACTTCCTGTGGCAGTGAATTCCAAGTGTTAATCACTCTTTGGGTGAAGAAGTACTTCCTTTTATCCGTTCTAACCCGACCGCTCAGCAATTTCATGGAGTGCCCACGGGTTCTTGTATTGTGAGAAAGGGAGAAAAGTACCTCTTTCTCTACCTGCTCTTTCCCATGCATAATCTTATAAACCTCGATCATGTCACCCCTCAGTCGTCTTTTCTCCAAGCTAAAGAGCCCTAAGCGCCTTAACCTTTCCTCATAGGGAAAGTGTTCCAACCCTTTTATCATTCGAGTTGCCCTTTTCTGCACTTTTTCCAAAGCTATAATATCCTTTTTAAGGTGTGGTGACCAGAATTGCACACAGTATTCCAGATGAGGTCGCACCATTGATTTATATAGCGGCATTATGATATTGGCTGATCTGTTTACAATACCCTTCCTAATAATCCCCAGCATAGCATTGGCCTTCTTTATTGCAGTCACACACTGTCTTGACATTTTCAGTGAGTTATCTACTACAACTCCAAGATCTCTCTCTTGATCAGTCTCTGCCAGTTCAGACCCCATCAATGTGTATTTATATTTAGGTTTTTTTGCTCCAATGTGCATCACCTTGCACTTGGCCACATTGAACCCCATTTGCCATGTTGACGCCCACTTGCCCATCCTTGACAGATCCCTTTGGAGTGCCTCACAATCCTCACTGGTTTTCACCACCCTGAACAACTTCGTATCATCCGCAAATTTAGCCACTTCACTGCTTACTCCCAACTCCAAATCATTAATGAACAAGTTAAAAAGCAGTGGACCAAGTACTGATCCCTGCGGTACCCCACTGCTTACCCCCCTCCACTGAGAAAATTTCCCATTTATACTCACTCTCTGTTTTCTATTAATTAGCCAGTTTTTGATCCATAAAAGGACTTGTCCTTTTATCCCATGATTTTTGAGCTTACTTAGGAGCCTTTGATAAGGAACTTTATCAAAAGCTTTCTGGAAGTCAAGGTAAACAGTATCTATCGGATCCCCCTTGTCCACATGTTTGTTCACCCCCTCAAAGAACACTAACTGGTCAGTAGGCAATATGGCAGTAATCTAGGAAGGATTTCATTTCACCTTTGTTTGGTGATCCCATGGAGAAGGAATGTGCTTTTTTTATCATGTGAGAAGAACCGACTCTCTTCCCTTAGGTTTAAGGAGCTCAGAAAAGCCCTACTACAACCGTGCCAGGTGTTCACGCAGCAACTTCCAGGGAAGGGGGTACCAACTTCTCTCTGGGTAGTAACCACTGACACCAACAAATCTGAATGAGTGTCTGATGCTAGGCACATTTGTACGTCTAGCATCATGTGCTGCCATTTAAAAGCTCTGTCTGTTTCCTGCTTTAGTTGTATTAGCTAACACTGAAACAAACTGTTGCACTTCAGCATTTTAGGAATGGAGAGCTCACCTGCTGCCCCTCTCCTTTACCACAACTGAATAGGTGTGATGTTTTTACAGAGATCAAGCTTTGAGCATTCAAATTATAAGAAAGTTTAGTAAACAAAAAATAAAAAAGTATGCATGGTCTGTACAAGGATCAGGCTGAGCAAGGATATAAAGAGAAGGAGGACACATGCAGTCCTTTAAACCCTTAACTCTATACTTACCCAAAACAGTATTTAATTAGAACAAAGTCTGAGTTCAGTGGCACCTTTAAGACCAACAAAATTTTATTCAAGGTATAAGCTTTTGTGTGCAAGCACACTTCGTCAGACACAATTAAATGAAATCTCCTCAAGCCCCACTTAAAGGAAAAAGAGGGTGGATCACCTTAGAGGGTAGATCCAGGTAGTCAGTCGTGTTGAAGCAGTAGAACAAATTAGAGTCAAGTGGCGCCTTTAAGACCAACAAAGGGTTATTCAAGGTATGAATCTTCATTCACTCTCTATGCTCTGTTCACTAATCTCTATGCTCTGAGAGTGAATGGAGAGTCTAAAATTTATTTTAGCATATTTATTACTTTACAACTGTTGACCTTATAACTTTAGCTTGTCGTTTAATTATGTTTTTGCATAGCTTAAAACATCTTCATCATGTTACATGTTAATTCGGTTCAGCCCATCAGCTGTACATCCCATTCCACTGTATTTGAAAAAGTGTGCTTTGCACACAAAAGCTCATACCTTGAACAAACCTTTGTTGGTCTTAAAAGTGCCACTTGACTCTAAATTTGTTTACCTTAGAGGGAACACTGTGCATAAGTAGGGCTGAAATTAGTGTCCAGTTTGGTGTGGTGGTTAAGTGTGCGGACTCTAATCTGGGAGAACCGGGTTTGATTCCCCACTCCTCCACTTGCACGTGCTGATGTGACCTTGGGTCAGTCACAAGCTCTGGCACAGCTGTCCTTGAGAAAGAGCAGTTTGTGTCAGAGTTCTCTCAGCCCCACCCACCTCACAGGGTGTCTGTTGTGGGGAGGGGAAAGGAGTTTGTAAGCCACTCTGAGACTCCTTTGGGTAGTGAAGGGCGGGGTATAAATCCAATCTCTTCTTCTTCTTCTTCTTCTCTGTAGGATCTGAGAGAAAAGTGCCTTAGTGAGCATGTCCTAATGAGTGTGTGGAAATTCCATAAATAATCTGCTTTCGTCCAAAATATTTAAGGAAACTGTCTAACTGTGTGATTAATTATGATAATTAATTCTGCTTCCAAACTGTTTTTTGTCTCTAAGGATCAGCAAAAACTGCTAGGTTGCCCAGTGAGCAGCTGAGTTCCAGTGCCAAAAAACTTGGCGAACCTATTCGTTCAGCTGTTGCTTTGCAGCCACCCTACCAGCCTTCTGTGCCTAGGCCCCCTTACCAAGATGAAAGAGGAACTAGAAATTCAGACAGATGTCCAGCATTGACTAAGTCTCAGGGACTTTCATCCTCTGAGGTAAGTGATGAATCTTCTCTGATATCTGCTAGAATTGTCAGCAGTTTTTTTTGCAGCGTGATAGAATTGCACTGGGTTGAGAGAACCTAGCAATGTTTCAAATACACATTTACAAAATATGTTGGTGAAATGTCCTAGCTTTAAAAACATTACAGTGCATACTTTGAGCTCATGATTTTTCGGCCTAAGTAAATCTTGAGTTGTGGTGTTATGTGAAGGTACAGAGAATTCTGTTAGATTTTCATCTCCCTCTCAGCACTACCATTCTCAAGGCTTCTTGGAAGAAACAATTAAGATGGTTCAGCACAGACTTGGGAATGTGTGCTGGTGCAGTGTCAACACAGACACACATTCTTGCTAGCAGAAATATTCATCTACATTTAGGTCAGCCCTTTAAGGCATAATTCAGATTTGTAGTGGCCAAGTCGTGTTAGCTCATTATGGGAACGAGCCTGTTCCCTCCCTCTGTCATGTCCAGCATGTTAATAAGACCTCTATATATGCAGCAGTTATGGTCTGCTCTCTTCCCTGCAAACCAAACTAACAAAGCAGGTAGCAGAAGGGAGATAAGCCTGATAATTTCCTTACCTTGCACCTACAGCAGCAAACTATGGTTTATTGCTGAATGATGACATTTTCTCTGCAGTATTTGTTCATGGCAAGTAATGTTGCTGAAAACACACTAGGAATAAAATGTTGCCAAAGAGAATTCATTCCAGAAGATGTAGCTAACTACCTTATGACAGACTTGCCGCAGAAAAATAATACTTGGGTTTTTTTTAGATTTGGGTTAAGTTGACAGGTAAAATATCACATGTCAAATTGTATTGGCCCAAAAAACCTTATAAATGGCTTCTGTCCTTACATGAAGACAATTGTATAGCTGTGAGTCTAACTCACAGTGCTCACAGCCTTCTGTTGTTGCTAGCTATTGCCCATAGTCTTGTTCTCTTGGATACAAAATATATTGTCCTGGATCCAGATCAGTGCAAACAGAGTTCTGCTTGTGCAGTTGGGCTGACCTTCTACTCCCCTGCTGCAGGCCTTTTGCACCCATTCCAGCTACCCCTGAGAATAGACATGCCCTCTAGAAAGCTATGGCATGCCCTTATGAGTGGGAGGTCAATCAGTTCACACAAGAAACCCTTTAGAGTCAAGCTAATGTGTGGCTTCTTGCTGTCAGATCTTTCAACTGGAGGTGATGAACCAGGGGCAAAAGTTGTTATAAAGGAGCCAGATGTAGCTGATGAACTGGTGCCAGAAGACAGTGTGGATGATGTGGGAAAGGTAACTGATACTTTCCTATTCTGTTGGGTGTAGATTTTTATTTATCGAATTTATGAATCACCGGTGAGCCCAAAAGCACCTAGGGTAAAACAAATGATTAATATAGGGGGGGGGTGGAGAAAACAAAATGCACAAAGTACATTGTATAATAAGATGTGCTAACAACATTTTGTTGTTATCCTTTCAGTATGCGTTGTACTTTGCAGACTAACAAAAGAAGCACCCAACGGAGCATGCACATTCGTAGTGTACACAAAAAAAGAAAACCAGTTCGCCGCGCCGCGCGCTTCTTCGTTGCGCGCAGGCGTGTGATGTGATCGACACCTCTCCCTAACCACGGAAGCTCCACAGTACCTCTACAGAACCTCCACAGGAGGTCTGATCGCTTAACTGCGTGTTAGTTTGCCCCGGGGCAAACAGCCACGCTTCCCCACCGCAGTTTCCTGCCCATGTGACCGGGGCCAATTTAAACATTCCGTTCAGGTGAAGCAACAAAGAGAGAAGGAAAAAGAGAAACAGAGAAAATATGCATTTAGTTCCGTGACGTGTATTTAGTCCTCATTCCCTATTGAAACCAAGATCAAAATTATGTCAAAGGCTTCAGTGGTGGAGTTTGAGGAAGGATTTATAGAAATAGAAAGCAGTATCATATAGGCTTTTTGGGAGTCACTCATGGGGACAAAGGACAGCACAACATCAGGAGACTTTTGGAAGTCTGAGTGTGGTGGAACTGCAGGAATGAAGGTCACAGGCAGGGGTGTGTAGAGAAAGTTGTAAAAGCCAGAGAGCTTTGAAGATAAGGGCAAAGAGTTCGTGCTGCATTTGGGAATGAGGAAACTAATGTAGAGGGTTTATGGTGCTTTAGAGCATTAGTGTTCAATTGAAACAAAGTAAAGAAGGTTCTTTTTATGGGGGTTGCATAAAACTTTCAGTATTATTTGATGTTTTTATCCTGGGTGTGTTTAAACTGTATTAGCTATTTCAGGTGAGCATAACACTACTTACTTAATTTGCAATACCATTTGTTTGGCGTACTGTTGCTCACTGGGTCCCCAAGTATTAAGGACTTACGTACATTGGCTCTTATCGCAGCTCAAGTATCCCAGGTGTATAGTTCATGGGATGCTTTGATATTGTTTTGTTTTGGTCTGATACCCTTTTTGGGCATTAATGGAAGTGTGTCAAAAATCTTTCTGTTTGTAGGATTGCCCTTCCAATATTATGAGTGCTTAATTTATAAAGAGTTGGCATTTTTTGGTGCTGGCTGTTTGGCACTTGGACATATTTTAACCACACTGCGCCAAGCATTATCCTTTGAAGAACTGTTATACCCCAGCCTGCTTTAGTAAGATACTGGTCCCACTGAACAGATGCTCAATATAATGTGGTCCTCACTGTGCAGCTCAGTTCTAAGAGTAGGCATTCAGTTCAATATATCTTTGGCTTTTTCAGTGACAAATTTTCTTTTCCCCTTTAAAAGGAAACTGATGAGAATGTTCAATATAAACCAACTTCATCTGTTAAGGAGGACAGGTCACAAAGGTTTACATCAATACAAAGCACAAGACCTAAGCAAAAAAATCTGTTTAATGGGAAAAGGTATGTGTTTTCTTTAGTCTGCATGTAGTTACTGTAATTAGGCCCATTATGACATCAACAACCTGATGACACATGCTAATAAAAGTTACGTTTTTCACTTAGTTCAGAAAGACAAGCCCACTCATGAAAATGAAGTACATATGCTCCTTACATTCTTCATCTGGAGAAATAGTATTTCCAATATGTAGCTAAAGATGTAGGGGCTGCCATATACCACTCCCCCAAGTTTTGCTGAAATCAGATCTGAAATCAGGTAAGTTAAAGCACTTTCTGTTTCCTTAGGCAGCATGAAAGCTCCATCACAGACTCGCTCGCAGAGGTATCTCTTTCCCACAGCAGGATAAAAGAAAAATTGTCAGACCAAGAGCTACAACAGATGTCTGAGAAACTCTCCCATAGGCTGAATGAATTAGATGCAGTAAGTGAGCACTTTCTATTTTTTTTATAACACAATATTCTACTGTGAGGAAACCTGGTAAATGGTGTGGGTGCACCTAAAGCTACAGCAGGTGCTGAAGTTAACCAGGTGCATACCTGACTAATGCCTGGATGGAAACAGTTGGGGGGTCCCTGCTTGCCAATTAATTTCTATGCTTACTCATGTTATTTCAGCGAGGGTTAGCTACAAGTTTGACTGCGTTTCCAGGTCTCCTAGAAGGAAGTTAGGTGTGCAGAAGATACGAAGCTTGTTTCCCCTTCTTGATAAAAGGCTGTTACTGGAATTGTGTATTTTCAAATCCTTGGAAGAACTTTCAAACCAGAAACTCTTCACATTATCATATCATTATATCAAGAGAAGTGATAAAATCTGTGAATCATGATGTACCTGTTTTTATTATTCTGAGGGTAATCAATATGTTCTGGCATATTTTAATCATAAAATCTGTGCTAAACTGCCTTATGGGATCCCAATTTGGATTCACGCTATTAATAAGGAAATAGAATTCAATCTAACTTTCTTCAGAAAATCTTAGGCCTCCCTACGTGTGTTTCTTATGGAGATATTTGTTTGGAAATCAAAGACTCCTAGAGACCAAAGCATGGATTATACCATTCAAATTTGGCTAAAGCTACGTTTTAAAACCAATGTTAATCCTAATTGTCTCATTTTCCAAGTTTTAGCTGAGCTCCAGTCTTCCTCATGGTTATTATATATAGATAAGAAGATTGCTGTAATTGGGATCAGTTTGAAGAGTTGCTTTCCTTGCCAGAAAAATCAGCCTTTGTTTGATTAAAACAAAGACTCCTGGATACTGAGTTACAGGTACTGAGTAGGCGTGCCTCTGGTAGATGTTCTCCCTTGAGGTTAGGCATTTCTCCTATGGGTTCGCTAGCAACATATTTCTTCTGCCTCTTTGATCTGCTTATTCACAGAGCTTATATGTTAACCCATTTTAACGTATTGCCTTCTGCAGTACTTCACGGGAGATTTCAAAAGATTCCATATGTGCAAAGGGTATGCAACTGTGGCAGGAATGAAGTAGAAAGTATTGAGCATTTTTTTGCACTGTACCTATTATTCTGACATTCGTATTACATATACAAATTACATAATAGCATCGGTTATTACTGGATCTAATAGGCCAGTCCGATGAACATAAGACCCTTTATTTTTTTTGCACCCAAAGTGTTGTGATTATTGAAATGGTGGCGAATTTTCTGTATCTGGCTTCTAAAAGGAGAGAGATGTATTAAGATTTCATTTTCCTCCTGTTTGTTTTCCTTTAGTTTGCTATGCTAGTAAAGGTGGTGGTTGTTGTCGTTATATCCACACCTTGGAGAAAATCAAGATGAGACCTTTATATATCGGACAATTCGTAGAAGAATTTGGGACACTGAAGCCAAACATTATGGCACAATACTTTTCTAATTCGGTGATCCCGCTGCAACACAGAGACTTTATGCTAGCCAGATTTAATGTTTTTCCCTCATCTTGGGTCTCAGGTAGATATAGAGGCATCCCAAAATGTGACAGGATTTGCAATTGTCCACTCAGAGAATCTGATACTTTAGATCATAGTCTGGTACGCTGCCCCCTTTACTCACATCCCCGACTACTTCTGATAAGCCTTTACTGCCTAGGGCCAATTCTGATAGTGCAATTAGGTTTCTTTTAGCTGATAAGTCACCAAAAGTTACTGTACAGACTGCTGATTTTTTCGTCCAAGATTTTGGTAGCAAGGAACTATTCCTAATATTGGTGTTTTAAGACTTACAGATGTAATTTTACCTTGATGAAGTTTTATCTTATTGATTTTATATGACAGTAAAGGGTGTGTGTGTGTGTTGTTATATCAAGAGAGCTATTTCAGGAAAGTTTCATTAGCCCTTGCCAAACATGTGTCCTTGCTGTAGCAGTAACAGGGTTGACTTGCAGGGTTGCTGATCTTCACCAGGACAGGAGTGGGGGGCTCCCGGCCGGTGTCTGGTGCACGTGTGCGCTTAGAGTTCTCCCTCCCCAGCGTGCCCGACGTGGTCGCGTCACTTCCAGGTGACGCGCACGTCGGGGAGGAGTTCCCCCCGGGGCCCGATCCGGCGGTGGCGGGGAACGGGCCTCTGGGGCGGGGGTTTCCCCACCCCCCGGGGGGACTTGGGAAGCCTATTGACTTGGCTTCTGGGCCATCGTCATGGGCCAGTCCCCCTGCTTACGATTGGGGGTACGGACTCTTGCCTGAGCCTGCTGCCAACCTACTTCCTTGTGTATTCAAGCCCACTTGTCCATCTGCTCAAGGTCTTTGTAGCTCAGAGTAGAAGCTGGTTGGAGAAGAGGATTACTATTGGCAGCATATGAAAGGAACACAGAGAGGCAGCTAGCAGAATGTCTTCTAAATGCTTTATTTCCCCCAGTATGCTGCATGTGTCTTTTAGAGATGTAACCTGATATGTAATCTGCTGCTGGGATCATTGGTTTATCTGCACTGCAAATGCCTTTAGTTCTTGCTTTTTTCTTGGAGATAGTTAAAGATTTTTTTTGCACACTCCTACTCCAGAGAGAAGGGGTTTAAAGTTTAAAGTCCTTCTCTCTTCGCTTACCCCCCCCCCCCCTTTGCACCCTTGGCAGTCCGGCTGGGGAAGGGGAGGCTTTTGAAGATGCCTCCCCCCCCCATGTAACCTGATATGTAATCTGTTGCTGGGATCATTGGCTTATCTGCACTGCAAGTGCTTTTAGTTCTTTCTTTTTGCTTAGAGATAGTAAAAGATTGGGTTGTGTTTGCATTCTCTCTGGTGGCCTGATCATGTATGGTACTTGCTTGGTGGTAGGGGCCTAGTAAGCATGTGCAGTAACTGTATGCTGGATGGACAGTTTCTGTGCTTCTGAGTGTAGATTCATCTTGATACCAGAATTTTTTATTTTGAGAATTGGTAACTCTTGTCAGCTAATGGGGGGGAGGGACTAACTGTTTTGGCCAGTTGTGTTTATGTTCTGGTCAGCTGACAGACTTTTTTGGTTCACTCCTGTTTGGTAGTTTGAAATAGAAGAATAGTGTTTACAATTTTCTTTTGCTTGTACCAACTTGCATGAGTAAACCTTACCTTTCACTGGCTTTCTGAACAGCCTTTCTGTCTTTTCGGATGGCAATGGTGATGTGCAGGGGTCGTTTGGGGCCGGAGCACCGCCCTGGCAGCCCAGGAGTGGGCACAAATGGTGATGGTGGCAAGCCCCGCCCCCAGCTTCCCACCCCCGCGCTCCTTTTTTCTAGAGTCTTTCCATTATGTTCTATGGGGCGGCGCAACTCCATAGAGAAGGGGTTTAAAGTAGGGAACTGAATGCCTCCCCGCTCTCTCCCCAGCCCTTCCTAGCTTGCCCACCGAGGCAGGCGAGCCAGGAGAGGGCGGGGAGGGGGGGCTCCAGAAGCCTTCCTTGGCTCTCCTGCTTGGGTGAGCGAGCAGAGGAAGGCACGGGGAGGCATTTAAATGCCTCCTCACTCTCTTCCCGGACCTTCCTGGCTCACCCACCAAGGCAGGCAAGCCAGGAGGGGGGGGGCCCCTCCAGAAGACTTCCTTGGCTCGCTGGCTTGGGCTGATTTTTTTTTTTTTTGCACACTCCGGCTGGGGAAGGGGAGGCTTTTGAAGATGCCTTCCCCCCTTTTTCTTCCCCTTCTGATGCCTCCCCCCCTTTTTCTTCCCCTTCTGATATCACTTCCGGTGATGTCAGGGGGTGTAGCATATGCTAATGCGCTATTATGCTAATAGCCTATTAGATATGCTAATGAGCTCCTGCCTACAAAATGACCCCTGGATGTACAATTAAAAGTTTTAATGTATGAAATGCATACAATTTAAAATTAAAGATGATCTTTGCATTATTACATGCAGATGAACAATGCAGCTATTTTATTTTCTTCTGAAGCAGGGCTCCGTAGAGCACTTTGGGCTCTTAAAGCATTCTGCAAGGAGGAGCAGTTGACAATTAACTATCAGCTATCTTAGTTTTTATCACGAAATATGTTAAATATAGATAGCAGATCAATGGGCATGATATAGGTCAGGTGAAGTCTTTAAAGTATTTGGGTGTAGTTTTCCAGTCAACTGGCCTTTTGGAGGACTCAGATAACCCATGTTGTTATAAGTGCCCAAAGAATGAAATCTGCTACCCTGAAATTCTTCTTCTCAAAGGGAGATTCATATATGTAAAGGTAAAGGTTCCCTTGCTCGAAAGCCAGTCGAGTCCGACTCTAGGGTTGCGGTGCTCATCTCCGTTTCAAAGCCAAAGAGCCAGCGCTGTCCGAAGACGTTTCCGTGGTCATGGACGCCAAGGCACCTCAGATATGTACCAAATAGTATGGCACAGTACTTCTCTAACTTGGTGATCCCGCTGCAACACAGAGCCTTTATGCTAGCCAGATTTAATGTTTTCCCCTCATCTTGGGTTTCAGGTAGATACAGAAGTATCCCGAAATGTGATAGAATTTGTAATTGCTCATCTGGAGAACCTGATACCTTAGATCACATCTTATTACGCTGTCCCCTCCACTCACATCTTCGATCATTTTGGATTAAGCCCATACTGTCTAGGATTAATTCTGAAAATGTAATTAGATACCTTTTAGCTGATGAGTCACCTGATGTTACTGCACAGATTGCTGAATTCTTGGCAGTAAGGAGTTTTTAAAAATATTGATGTATTTTAAGAAGGTGGGTGTAATGATACCTGATGAAGTAACTTATTTATTGTCTTATATGCCAATAAAGGTGTTGTATTGTATTGTATGTTTTGTTTGTGTTTAACCTGTTGGTGTTGGCTGATCTGGGATTGTAATAAATGAATTGATTATTTTAAAGATGGTCCTATATCAAAGCCCATGAGATTTACATACCCTCACTTGCCTTATACTGTGTATGCATCCTAATACTGGACAATGCAGCGGCAGGATCTGTGGGTGCATAAGTGTAGATAGGTTGCTGAATTTTAATGACCTCAGTTTTGGGGAGTAAACCAGAAAGGTGCATATACTTGAATCAGAAATGGCGCATTCTATAATACCACTGTAGATTGCTTTAGCATGAGCTCTGACGAATAGGACCGTTCTCTTTAAACAACAGATGTTAAAGAATGCTTTGAGTGAACGAAGCAGGGGGGAATCATCTACTGATGAAGACAGACTTTCTCAGCATAGTGATAGTGTCATGGATTACCACGACACGAAGCAAGAACCAGGTAATGCTTTGGAAGTTTATGAAGTATTAGTGACCATTCAGCATGTGCATTTTTTTAACTTCTTCCTGCTACAAGATTATGATGGCTATGGAAGAGCCACAGTGAGATTAAGCTAGCAAGGAGTTTAAAGAAAATTAATGTTAGAATGGTATTATCTTGCCTTGAATCTCATCCTAAAATTGAATAAATCTCAGAATAGGGGGTAGCAGATCTGCTGTTCAGTCTGAGAAAAATGACACCCTTCTAATTCCACTAATTTCAATGTATTTAGAAGTGGGTAACTTTTGGCTAGACGACCTTCCTGCCATGCAAGCTGAGTGCCTACAGTTGCCCAAGCAGGAGAGATTGTACCATCCAGTCTTCTCACCCTCCTGTTGCTACCTGCTTGAGGAGAGTCCAGCTGAAGACACTGTGAAGGATCCTGGGGTGTTTAATTGCCTGTACCTGGAAGAGCACGCTAGCTCAGCTGGGCTGGCCTCATAATGTAGCCCTCCTGTCAAGGGCTGCCCTGGAAGGCAATGCCAGAGGCTGCTGTCTTCTTCTTCTTCTTCTTCTTCTTCTTCTTCTTCTTCTTCTTCTTCTTCTTCTTCTTCTTCTTCTTCTTCTTCTTCTTCTTCTTCTTCTTCTT